AAGTCGATGTTAGGCTCAGGCACTGACCGCCACAACATAGGAAACTTGTCAAACCTTCGACTCTCATCAGTCACTCACCGTCACATTCACCCTCTCAGCCCCTGAAACAGGTCTCAACCCCCTCCACCGTCCTCCCTTCCCCGCAAACCCTTCGATCACCCACCAAGGCGCGACAAACACCACCCCCAACACCCCCAACACCACCACCCGCGACAGTCACACAACCTGACGTCGTTGTAGCACAAAACCCCCTCCTCGCCATGCAGCAAGGCTCATCGCAGCTCTCAAGCAAACGTCAAGGAAACGTTGCGCGACATACCACCCTCCGCCAAGCATCGCGCTCATGCACGCACTCTCCTCGCACAGGTCCCTTTCGGCCGAGGTGGGGCGGCGCTGCAAGGGACTATCGGATTATCACCGTGCTAGCGGTCTTTGGGACGCCGGCGCGCTTGGTCCGCTGTCAGGCTTTCTGGGGGGGGAGATGTTGGGTTTCTTGACAACGAGTGCGTGTGTGTATAGTATGTTGATGAGGGTGGGTGGTGTGGGATTGGGAAGAGGCGACATATGTTTTCTTCGCGGTGTCGGTGTGAGGGGTGGGAGGGGTGCAAGGTAGGTTGGGGATAGGATCGTGGATCAGATTCATGTCTCTCTCGGTGGGACGAAATCAGGGAATTCGTCGTGATGCTGTTTATAAAGCATCTCGGACCACCCCATAGCTGACTTGCAATAGGTGCCGAGTCGCGGCTGTAACCACTCCTCTTTGTGGCCGAGTCTGGGGGGCGACGAGGGAAGGTCTGACCTTACCCCATCGTCGACATGCCGTGCGCGCGCCTGTGCCACTCCTAACGCCGTTTGTACCTACGCACAAGCTATTCCAACATCTGTGCAACAGCAGTCCGCCGACGATGACGATCATCCAATATCGGAAATCACGACTCGCTCACCTACCAATCTGCCGTGGAAGAATACCGACTCCCCATGCGGTACAAACCCTCACGCTCCCACAGCATCACGACATCCGAAAAGCATCACACCTCCAAACCCCATTTCCCCGCATCCCAAAATCCCAAAATCCACACCTGTCACCCTACGAGTCGTGACCCAAACATAAACCCCTCAGATCTCACAAAGTAAGTAATTCGCCCTCTCCTCTTCCAGACAAAATAAAATCCACTCCCTAGCGCCCCTCTCCAACGCAGAACATAAACGCCACGACCAACCAGACGAGGTCTAAGGACTGCAGGCCCAACGCATGGCAGCATGCGATCGCGGCTGGTGGTACGACATTCCTGAACGGTACAAATGGCCCCGTCAACTCCCCGTCAACTCCCCCGCTGGCTGGCCCCCCTCGACCGAAAATGCGCGATATGCACGAGTCGAGTCGAGTCGCAGGCCTCGTTTTTCGCCACTGCCTGGCCGCGCACGCAGGTGCAAAAAAAGTGACAGTTCTGCAGGAAGTAAGGGGGGATTGAATACAATTGCCGTTTTCTCCTCCCCCTTTTCTCGCCTTTTCTCGGCGCTGGGACTCTATCTACTCGCCATAATCGCCATATCCAGTAAGGGAAATCCCAGTCCCGCCGGGAGAAGTCCGTTCCAAGTGGGCCGATTATTGGCTTGCCATACCCACTGTTCTGGACGGGACGGGCGAGTTGTCGACCCGCAGGTAGGTGGGAGCGGAGGGGATTGGTGCGTGGACAGGGGGATGTGGACACTATATGTCCACTATGCTTGATCATGCTTGACGTCTTTCGGGCCCCTGTCGGACTGAACCCACGGCGCCATTTTGCGAGGGGATGGTCGAGGGGTAGGGGGTAGACCAGAGCGTCGGTGGCGAATGGCATTTACCGTTCACTGACTACGGAGTACTACACTGATGCTACTGTACCGTACTTGAAAGAGTGGTAAGTGGTAAAAAGAGGTACGTACGCGCAACACAGGTGGGTGCGGAGAAAATGGGGGCACGACTCTATCCCCAACCTGCTCGAGAATCAAGTTTCGTCGCTGGCGCAGGTGTTCAGTCAAGACATGATAATTGACGTTGGGATGGGATGGGAGCGACAGCATACGTATGTTGGGATGGCTGGCGCGCGTGTCGCAGTTAACTGCTTGCATCATATCGATCTCATAGTTCCTAACACACACGATACGATGCACAATTGCCAGTTTGGGGTAGAAAGGGAGACCAGCGTTGTGGGGGTGGGTGGATGTTGGTGGACTAGAACACCCGACGATGCTGGGAACTTGCTAGCCGCTAGAGGGCGAGATTGGCACCTTGGCACCGCAAACAGCGCGGGAAGGTCGATTGATTGCCCAGATTAAGTATCTCATACCACCGATTTGCTTGTTTGCTGTCGCCGTTGCGATTATTTGCCCATTATTCCGTATCCCTTTCATTTTATTCTATTTTATTTTAATAGTATAGACATCTATTGTAACGGGAATAATATGGCCATTGCGCGCATTCTAATATCGAAACTCAGCGATATTGGGTTGGTCCTGGGATGGTTTCGTAGTTAGGCAGGGTATCAGAGACAGTAAGTACTCGCGCCGTAATCTGCCAGCATTTGGGGGTGTGAAGTGACCTCTCCCTCTCCCTCTCCACCATCCACCACTACCCCCAATCCACCTCCACCACCACCCAATATTGTCTCTCAGGGTGAAACCAGGTAAACCCACTCGCTCCCTTATCCTTTTCACTCCCTTCACTCCCTTCACTCCCTCACCCTCACCCCAACTCTCTCTTCGCCCCCCTCAAGAACAATCAGGAATCCCCAGGAGATATACTTCTACACTTGCCCTGTCCACTACTTTGCTGTCTGTGGAATCTGTGGGATACTTCAATTGGTTCCTGTTCTGTTGAGAGAGAGATATATACCTTGGGTCGCCTGCAACTCGGAAAGATACAGAGAGAGAGAGCGGAGTAGGGTGGGACAACTGCTACACTATCACGACATCATCGGATTGTCTCTTTGCGCTACCATCAGCCCCTCGATTACAATACCAACCAGTTTATATCCACGATTACCACCTCCCGTCGAAAGTTTATCCAGTCGACAGCCACTCCTTCAGTATATCTGATCGACACCTCGCTCTCCCTTCACCACCACCAATCGACCTTACAACACCACCACACCACCTGTCACTCCAACAACCACACTCTCCCTCAACCTCCCACACTCCTACACTCCCACACAATGTCTTCTCCCACCACCACCACCCCCCTCCCCATCGGCCTCTCCATCCCCTCCCGCCCCTCCCAACCTCTCACAACAATCGACGACGTCTCCTCCCTCCTCACCCTCACCCCAACACGCACCTCCACCCCCCTCTCCCCCTTCCACGACGCCCACTCCTCCCCCCTCCCCCTCTCCCAACAACCCACAAAAGCCGACTCCAAGTCCCACCTCAGCACCTACGAATCCGACCTCGAAGCCGGGCTATGCGAGACCACCACCGCCACCAAGACCAGGTCCAATACCAAAGGCGGCTTCGGCGGCAGCGCCCTGGCCCTCGCGCAGAAGAAGTCCAGCGGTGGCGCGACGAATAAGGAGTGCACGGTTTGGCCGGGGCAGAAGGCGTTGAAGGAGGCGAAGATGGCGGAGAAGAGGAGGACGGAGTGCTGGAATCCGATGAGGGGGTTGGACTCGAGGACGAAGTTTTGGGTGAAGATCGCGATTGGGGCGGTGATTGTGGGGTTGGCGGTGGGTGTTGGGTTGGGTATTACCAGGGCGGTGCATGGTGGTGTTTGGCATGAGAATTCGTGAGATGGTGGTGGTGAGTTCGATCTGTTCCGTTGGTTGTTGCTGGTGCGATGCTGACTTGTTGTCCCTAGTTGATCGATCTCTTTGTCTGACCAAGACTGGTGTCGACCTTCCTCCTCCGACTTCTCTCGGTATCACCTGCGACCCAACCACTCGCAAACTTCGTTGTATATATTGCCTCCCCTTCTCGGCGTTCCCATCACACGGCGTTATCGGATATTTCCTACCTGCACCCTTTCCAACTGTCGATTCCAGCATCCACAACGAACCCCATTCCAACCCCCACTACCATCGACTTCTGTTCATACTAAACCCCTTCAATCACCGCCATCTCCTTGTCGCAAGGATCACATCATACCCCTTCTGTTGTATCGTCGCATACCCCGCAACTGCATCGCTGGTCGGAGAAGAAAATATGGGAGATGCGGATAATATGCATTTCACTTCTTTTTGAAGCTTGATGGATGGAGTGGAATGGATGCCGACAGACTGGCTTCTGCTGGGCTTTACTTACTGAGGTGCTGGATAATGAATGAAATGAAATCAAACCTACTGCTGTCTCACCCACCACTTGACCGTGACGTTCTTGATCGCCTCTTGTCCACGTTCGTGCTTGTAGGTCCTTGACCTCACGTCTCAAAGGCATCCTGTATCGTCAACAAACAATACAAAGTCGTCAGTAAATCGCACCGTAAATCCCATCACCAGTAGCATCCAATAACTGACGTTGGAGGGGCGGTCACCATGCTATATATCCCCCCCAACACCCCTCTGACAAATCAAGTAAGCAGGGCTGTCGATCTCGGATGCCTCGGACTTTGTTTTGGACTTTCACAAATACATATGCGTGACACCCCAACTTTGTTCTCCACCTTGTAAAAATCGTGCATATGTATGGGTTCAGTTTAATGTCTTTTATGTGTGTGTTATATGTTCTAGAATTGTCTTTTGTTAGGGTTTGTAGGGGAGTTACTTCGTTAAATTGGTTTGTGATTGAGACAAGATTTCATGGTTGGGCGATTGGTGAGCATTAGGATGACAGATTATCACATGACTATATATCTTGATAGACACGTGATGGGATCTGGCCTCCAGGATGGGGTATGGGGCGCAGGGTAGGAGGGAGAGTAAAACGATAAGATAAGTTAGAGTGTGGATGAAGATAAGAGGGATAGAGAGGAGATATGAGGCTGGGAAATGCCGGAAAATTAAATATAAGTCTGTGCAATTAAGTCACTATCACTGGCCGCCATCATTTCATAAGCGTCTCTCTTCCCGCGGATATGTAAACTCCCAACCATTCGCACCAAAATTACGAAAAGATCCGCAGTATATTAGCTATAGTATAATACAAAACGAAGATTATGTAGACGCATAAATCGCAGCGAACGCTAAGTTTTATTTACAACAGATAGCGATAATCGGGGCTCAGATCCTATTTAAAAAGGTTAGCATCGGCTCAAGACCACCAAGCATCAAACATGCCGTCCACCCGCTCCAAACATGACTACTCCACGCCGTGATCGGAACAAACCAGACGACACCTCTTAAACCTCTCACAAAGTTCATAGGAAAAAGGAGAAGGGAAGAAGAAAGGAAGAAGAAGAAGAAAAAAAGTAAACTCACCCCCAGCTCCGCCTTCTCATCCTCCGTCAAAGTCGACGTCCCAACCTCCCTATCCCTCTTCCGGTTCTCATACACGACCGCAACAGCATACGCACAGCACGCCGCAGCACTGAGACAAATGAAGCCAATGCAGATGCTATACCCATTCCTGTAGTGATTCTTCTTATCCGAATCCAGAAAACTATACGTCGCGATGATACCGCCGATATTTCCAAACCCAACCTGCCACGCCGTGCCGACAGCGCGGCGATGATGCCCGCCGAGATTCATATTGAACCAGCACACGATCACTGGCATGGCGCTGTAGGTGCCCATGGCGATCAGGAAGAGCGCGCTGTACTGCGCCATGACGTTGTTGTGGATGTGGAACAACATCGCGAAACCCACCATCGAGACGCACATCGGGAGAAGGCAGAAAGCGAAGCGGTGACCTGTGCGATCACTGAACCAAGCTACAATCATGGAAAACCCGAATGCAGCAGCCCACGGAGGGACGGAGCGCAGCTGCGTCTGGATGGGGCTGTAGTTCAAGCTGGAAATAATGGCGGGTGCGAAGAAGGCGTACGAGTAGGCTGGGACGATAAGCCCGAAATACATGATTCCGCCGAGGTAGATCTTGTAGTCCTTGAAGACGCGCCCGACGTCGCGGAGGGTGATGCTGCGATCCGCCGCCGAACGGCCCTGGTCGACGCGCAGACGGCCAATGACGAACGCGCGCTCGTCTTCGGTGAGCCACTTCGCGTCCTCGGGGAAGGAGGGAAGCATGAAGAAGAACATGATGGCGACGACGCAGGTCAGCACGCCCTCGAGGATGAAGATCCAGCGCCATCCGCGGTAGCCGCTCAGCATGTCCATCTTTCCGATTGCGGAGGCGAGGAGGCCGGCGAAGCCGCCAGCGAGGGTGGTGGAGGAGAAGAAGAAGGAGTATCGGCGCTGCGCTTCGGTGCGCTTGTACCATAGTCCGATGAGGAAGAAGCAGCCGGGGAACATGCCTGCTTCCATCATGCCGAGGAAAAAGCGCGTGGCGAGGAGGCCGGAGTAGTTCTGCACGAGGCCCTGGCAGATGGAGACGAGGCCGAAGGTGAACATACAGCCTGAAAGCCAGACGTGCGGGCGCAGCTTCTTGAGTAGGATGTTGGCAGGGATCTCGAAGAAGATGTATGGCACGAAGAAGATCGTAAGGGCGGTGTTGTATTTGACGCTCGATGTCTTGCCGGTCTCGTCGATGAGGTGGAGGTCCTCGACCAGGCCGAAGGACTTCGCATTGGCAATGTTGACGCGGTCGAGGAAGGCGAGGAGGTATAGCACGCAGAGACACGGGATGACCCTCATGTCGACCCTGCGCATCAGCGCCGCCTCGGTCGTATGAGGCGGGCACACGGCGGGCGCGTTGGCGTCGACGACATCGTTGCCCTCCGCGTCCTTGTTGTCGTAGAACGTCTTCTCGCCAGGAACACCAGCATCGTCAATGACTGACGAGATAGGCGATTCTGCATTCGCTGCGGCCTCTACAGAAATCCAGTCAGTGGTTGATCGATCGCATCAAAGACGTCGGCTCAATGAGCCGATCGCCGGCTGGGAGCGGACTACTAACTCTTATCGCCGAACCCGAACATCTTGAACGGAACACAAATATCAGAATAACCTCTTATTCTTCCCTTCAAAATGCGCAAATCTTTTCAAACAATCCTTCTTTCGCATATAACCAAGAAAAGAAGAAGAAGAAGATCCAAGCCGACACACCTCCCTACAGAAGTTCGTAGCTGGGCACCCTCGCGAAAAAGCAGCAGGATCTGCAAAAGCCCTACCACCAACTGGCCGATCCGCGTCCGAGTTAAGTAGGTCCCCTTCACCACCATGACACACTTCGCGGGGCAGTCACACACAGCAACAGACAGCGCCGAACATCGCCTGCATCGCCTTGCATCGCCTCCCGCCCAGGCCCGCAGCGCGCCACAATTACAAAGCCGCCGGCGCGGCGGCGGGGGTGGTGGGACAGTCGTCGAAGGATCGCCCGCCCAATCCGCGCCCGCGCGACTCGGTCTAGCCGGTGCGTCGCACTCGGTAGTGGTGGGGATCGGGGATTCGGGGATGGGTGATTGGGGCGAGGGTCAGGCCAGAATGCGGGGAGGGAACGAGATTAGGTGGGCTTGGGGAGGAGTCAACTGCTGTTTAGTGAGGTAAGAGGGCCTTCTCTCTCCACAGTTCTGGACTGCGCTTTCGGCGTGCTGTTTTTATGATGGTTTTAGCACCGGATGATGGTCTTGGCTCCTTCTCTTTTTTGCTTCCATGAGGCTAATTACCCCAATAAACGTGGAATTGGCTCCGCACTTCTCTTGGTCGTACTGCGACCTACCGCGCTACCAAGGCCAGCCAGTGCATCACCTCCCTCCCATAACCGCAAACTGGCACGATCGGTCACGGGTCCTACTCCATCAGTACGATGATAGCTTCTAGCTCGCTATCTAGCATGTATAATTTGGGGTATTAGGGGGAAAGTTGACAGTCTTGACAAAAAAAAAACTGGCACCTGTCTGTAGGTGCGGCTGTGCCGAGGCCACCATCGTCATCTCCGCACAGCGCCTCGTCTCGGTGCTTGTTTTTGGGGGCGCGAACGCCACCCGGCGAATGTGGAAGGTGCAGTGCCGTGTGACGGGGAGAATTTGCCGTTCGTAGGAGGATCTTTACGTACTGTTAAGCGGAGGGTATCCGTTCCCTTCCCCCGTAGTGGCGTAAATGTATGATTATGATTATTTCTGGGCTTACTGCAGCGTCAGTATGTAAGGTATAGTAATCACGCCGATGGAGGCTAAGGATATCAATTTGTTGTCTGAGGTGGTCTAGAGTTGGAGACTTTCCCCAAGTATCCTTCGTAGCGCACATGGCGTCTTCCGTCCACCGTACTTCCCTCCCGTACCCCGATACCCGATAAGCTCGCGAGATTCAGATCTGGCGATAATGCGGGGTCAGGCTGAGGCATTTTTGGAGAAATGCTGACTTCCTTATGAACGAAACGAAACGACCCCACCAACCAAAACAATTACTAAAACATGTATAAAACTTATATAGATCGTTCAATTCTCATTTATTGATATTTTTTTGCTACTTCTATCGCGTGATCGTGAGACTAATGATTTTCTTCACCAAATATTCAAAAAAATAAAAAAACTCATAAAAGACGTGCGAGCCGCCAGGTTGGTATCAGCCTCCAAGTGACCCCGCATACATTCGTCGGCGTCGTCGCGGAAATCCAAAACTCCTCGCTGACAAGGTAGGTGGTGGGGATGTGTGGGGGAACATATCTAATCATCAAGGTGGATCTTGACATTCTTATCCGCGGCCGGGATAACCTCATCCTCCTTCTCCCCCTTCAGCGTCGGCAGCTCCTCGATAGCCTCTCTAATAATCCCCAAGGCCTTCTGCATATCCTCCTCGGAAATCACCAACGGCGGCGCAAACCGAATGATATTCTCATGCGTCGGCTTCGCCAACAGTCCCTTACTCTTCATCAACATACACAGATCCCACGCCGTGTGTCCACCCGTATGCGCCTCATCGATGATAATCGCATTCAGCAGTCCTCGTCCCCTAACCAGCTTCACCATCGGCGAATCAATCTCCCTCAACCCCTTCCTGAGCACCTCACCCAGCTTCTCCGCGCGCGCAGTCAACCCCTCCTCCTCCATCACCTCAAGCGCACGCATCGACACCGCGCAGCCCAACGGGTTTCCACCGTACGTCGACCCATGCGTCCCAGGCTCGACGGTCAACATGATCTCCGCCCGTCCCAGCACGCAGGCAACGGGGTACATACCCCCCGACAGCGCCTTACCCAGCGTCACAAGATCAGGCGTGATGTTCGACCACTCGCTGCACAGCATGCGGCCCGTGCGTCCGATACCCGTCTGGATCTCATCGATGATGAGGAGGACGTTGTGCTGTTTGCACAGCGCGTGCACGCGGGTTAGGTAATCGTCATCTGGGACCACGACACCGGCCTCGCCCTGGATAGGCTCGAGGAGGATGGCGCACGTCTCCTTGCCGTGCGCGGCGAGCACGTCCTCGATGTCTTGGACGTTGTTGTAGCGGATCTGCTTGCCGGTTGTGGGGTTCACGGCGCCGATGTTGGGGACGTAAGGGCCGTAGTTGGTGCGGGAGTCGGGGTCGGTGGAGAGGGTGATGGCGCCGAGGGTGCGGCCGTGGAAGTTGTCCGCGGCGGCGAAGATGAGCGCTTTGTTTTCGGGGATGCCCTTGGACTTATATCCCCACTTGCGAGCGATCTTGAGCGCGGTCTCGACGGCCTCCGCGCCGGTGTTGACGGGGAGGACCATGTCGTACCCGAAGACGTCCTTCATCTTCTCCGCCCATTTGGGGAAGACATCGTTGTAGAAGGCGCGCGAGGTGAGGGTCAGGCGCTGGGCTTGGTCGCAGAGCGCCTTTACCAGCTCGGGGTGGCAGTGGCCTTGGTTCACGGCGCTGTACGCGGACAGGAAGTCAAGGTAGTGCTTTCCCTCCGGATCCCAGACGTCGGAGCCGCTGGCGCGGGCAAAGACGATGGGGAGCGGGTGGTAGTTGTGTGCGGCGTACTTGGCCTCTGCTTCGATGGCGCTGGCGCTGGATGTGGCATGGTATTGACCGGTCACCTTCGCAGCGGCCTGGCCCTTACCAGCAAGTCCATCTGCATGAGGAGCCATACTGGATATTGGTTTGGGGGGTAGTGGTATGTATGTATGAATGAGTGTACTTGGGTAGTAGAGTATTGGAGTTGTTCACGTTGAGTGTCCTATCGAACGATATTCTCTAGAGGGGAATGGTTCTTTTTGGGGTAATAATGAAGGGGGGGAAGTGGGATGAGGAGGGGGGAGGGAGCCAACCTATATAGTCAGACAAACGCTCCCGGAATGTAAAACAATGGTAATGGAAATACTAAGCATGACCGCGGAGACCCCTCAGACCCCTCACCTTTTCACCGAACTTCCACGGGGGTTAATTGGACATTGTGGGCGTGACCAGACGCAAGTTTTGATCGTGTTGGTGAAAATCGTTCAGACTTGCCTATAGGGAATTATCATCGTGTGTAACTGCACATAGGGGAAATGGCGCCTGGAGAGGTGGATGTGGTGGGATGGCTGGGTGGATGTCGATGACGAGAGGAGAGACCAGTAGAGGCCAGTCAGGAGGAGTTAAGACCACCAAAGACGGCTATCTGCGGACTTGGAGAGAGGCGATTGGTTGGAGGGGAGGAAGGGAGGAGGAATGACTAAGAATGGAGTTTGATTGGTTGGACGAGGGGTGGAAGGGGTCGTGGATGGTGCTTATGTAAGGCATGGGGCGATAAGATACACTAATTGGCTTAGGAAGGCATTGGCGATAAGATAGACTGATTGGATAGTACGCTAAGGCACGTGATTATAGGACAATGATAGCCTAGCGCCATTGCCAATACATCACATGACAAAAGATCACACAAGTCACGTGAGTGTATATATCGTGACTAGCACTATAACTAAAAAGTCACATGACTATATACTAACCTAATACCATTACGTCACATGACCACTAAATTAAAATCATGTGCACCCAACCCACACCAATATTGTACTATTACACGCTATGCTAAATAAAGAAAAAAACAAGCTTTGATTGGCTTCCGCTTCCCTACCAGCTCTCCACTCCACCCACCTCCTTCCTTCCCTCCTCTCTGAACCCCCACGAAGCCCACGTGCCCCCAGTGTCTGAGATCCCCAAAAAGGAAATCATGAATTGAAAAAAATACTCCATCCTCTCCTTCCCTCTCTGTATATTTTTACCTGTATTTCTCTGTGCTCTGTATCCTCCGCAGACATGAGCACTTCTGCGAAACCCTCGCCCGTGCCTGCTGCTGCAGAGGCAGCCGGTGTCCCTCGTCGAGATGACGATGTGCGTCGCAAGCTGGCCATACGAAAGGCCTACCACACGGCGTACTATGAATACCAGCGCAGAGACATGATGTATCTCCTCATCATCCTGCGCTTCATAAATGCCATCACCATCCGCACCTTCTTCCAGCCAGACGAGTACTTCCAGTCTCTCGAGCCAGCATGGGAGATGGCTTTCGGCGCGTCCAGCGGTGCATGGATCACCTGGGTGGGTATCCCGTCCTCTATACCCCTCCAACTATGGCTAAGATATGTAGGAATGGCATCACCAGCTTCGGTCATCGCTGCACCCCGCCATCTTCGCCCTGCTCTACTTTGTAGCTGACCGGGCCATGGGCGTCATGAGCATGTACCCGCAATTCAAAGCCATTATCCTGGCCTACCTCCCCAAAGTGTTCCAGGGACTTGTTGCCGCGGTAGGGGACTACTACACGTGGCAGCTGGCTGAGAAGGTTTACGGGCAAGGAAGCAATGCGGCTTTCACCACGGTATGTCCTTCTCTTATATAGTCATATGTCACGAGACACAGGCTAACAAGTCATATAGCTACTCATCACTGCCTTGAGCCCATGGCAGTGGTTCTGCTCTACCAGGACGCTCTCCAACTCTCTGGAGACAGTCTTGACCATCGTTGCTCTCTACTATTGGCCTTGGGCCCTATATGGCGACAGCAGCGCACCAAAGAAGACGTCTCCAGATGCAGCTGAGGCTGATAAGGCCGACAAGGCCACTACTAGCTCGCAGGAGTCTCAGATCTTCAAGACCAATTCGGATGTCAACAGGTAGGATGAATGGGACCTCTCAATTATGAGTATAGCTAACATTTCAGTCTTCGTATTTGCCTTTTCTTGGCAGGCATTGCCTGTCTTCTCAGGCCCACGAACCTGTTCATCTGGGCTTCGATAGTGACGGTATCTGTCAGCCGACTGGGTCTTACTGGCACCTCGCCCGCCAAATTCTCTGACTTCCTAATCATCCTACGCGAAGCTGTCATTTGCGGGTACGTCACCTATCCCACTCCTCTACTCTACGAGGACACATATTAACTCCTACAGCGCACTCGCTCTCTCCATCTCCGCCGCCTCGGACTACTACTATTTCGGCGTGTGGACGTTCCCACCTTACCAGTGGCTCTACTTCAACATCACCAAGTCCCTGGCAGTCTTTTACGGCACAAACCGCTGGGACTACTACGTCACCGAAGGCCTCCCCCTCCTTCTCACCACCATCATCCCATTCACCCTCATCGCCTTCGTCTCCTCCACCTCCATCGGAACCGAAGGGGCATCCGTCAGCAACATCCGCTTCCAATTCACCTTCACGGCCCTCACCACCATCGCCACCCTCTCCCTAATCTCCCACAAAGAAGTCCGCTTCATCTACCCCCTCCTCCCCCTCCTCCACATCCTCTCCGCACCCCACGTTCTCTCCTTCTTCTCCCGCCCCGCCCCCGCCTCCACCCCAGCCCCCTCAACCTCCTTCTCCATCCCCCCCTCCCCCACCCTGCGCCGCACCACCCTCCTCGGCGCACTTGTCGCCGTTAACATCTCTCTCGCCTTCTACACCACCTTAATCCACCAACGCGGCGTCCTCGACGTCCTCGCCTTCCTCCGCTACGACTACGAAGCCACACACCTCACCGAGCGCGGCCTCTTTATCCCAACTACTGCTGATGACGCCCCCTTCGCCGCGTTCCTCATGCCCTGCCACTCCACGCCATGGCGCTCGCACCTCGTTCACCCTACCCTCAACGCCTGGGCGCTGACCTGCGAGCCGCCTCTCGACATCCCAGCCGGCACGCCAGAGCGCGCAGCGTACCGCGATGAGGCGGATCGGTTCTTCGATGATCCGAAGGGGTTTTTGAGTCGCGAGGTGGGGAGTAGGGAGAAGCCGTGGCCGCAGTATGTGGTTGGGTTTGAGGGGATTGAGGGGGTGTTGGTGGAGTGGCATGAGGAGACGGGGAGTCAGTATGAGGTGGTGAGGAAGTGGAGTGGGTTTAATAGTCATTGGATTGATGATGAGAGACGGAAGGGACGGGTTGTGGTGTGGGAGTTTAAGGAGAGGGTTAAGGCTTAGGTGGGAGAAATAGGGTTTGGAAAGAGGTCAGTGTGATGGGGGTGGTTGTATTATATTTGTGTTATATAGAGGAGATTTAATTTGATTAATCTTATATACCTGTGCGGAGTTAAACTTCGTGTTGTGAGCAAAGTCGAACAGCAACATGAGGATAACTTAGGAACCTATAATTCGATCAGAACTCGGGTGTTGGCTCCCACTGCTCATTTTCTGTCTTCTTGTGACCACGAAAATCTGCCATAACTATCGCCAGAAATGCACCCGCCTTAATGTACTTCACCTAAAGTGCTTCTTTCAGGCAGACGGATCAAATGGATTCTGGGCGATCCCATTGCAGGATCTGCCTAGGCCATCATCCACCCCACCGCGGAAAGGCGGAGGTCTACAACATCCTCCACCACGATTCTCATCACCTCTACCCATTCTCACCACTTTTCTCTCTTCTCACTGCCTCTTCTCAATGCCTCTCTACTTTCTCACCACCACTCTTCTTTCTCACCACCTCCATCCAAAGTCCTGGGAAATATGTCCATGCTGCTTTCCAGTACGTTTGGACACAGTGAACGGGAAGGGCGTTGTTTATATGCCACATTAGCTTTTGGTAATTCTTTACTGTCAAGAATTCTCTGTCCGCTGTGAAATATCGTAGAATCTAGGGAATGATTGACTTTGATAGTGATTCTCTGGCTGTATTTTTGGTGGTTTTGCTCTAACCATAAGCAAAAGGGTAATATTATCAAGTTCTTCTAAAATGGCACCCTGACCCCCCCAACTACAGTCTTCGTCCTCTAAATTTCTAATGTTGGAGGAATGAGAAGGGCTTCTATTTTCCCCTTTCGAGCTATGTCGTTGACAAAGGCCCACACAGCAACCGTCTCAATAGTTCCGCAAGACTTCAATCTTTCAACGACACTGCAGTTCTCATTACCACCACTGTAATCAATTTCGGAACTCTAGAGTGATATATTCGCCGGCACTTGGAAGCTGCAGGGGAAGTTGATACACGTGGCTTCGCGTCAAGGCGTGGCGTTTTCCCCTCGAACGCGACCAACCATCGCGCGCAACTCCTAAATAATATCAGCCGGTTCTAAACTTAACGCCCACGTCATTGATTCACAGATAGTGAAACACCTGAGACCTGAGACCCCTAATGCTTTTAAATCCCAGTCAGCTATTTTTCAATCACAAACCAAGATCAATTGAACCGAAGCCACACCCACAATATAAGCATGGCCCGATCGCGCCCCGCCTCGAACGGTCCTACCTCCAAGTCCGCCCCAACCACACAAAAAAACGGCATCAAGAAGTCCTCAAAGCCTGCCAAGCAGCAACTCTACGTTGTGTCGCGCGAAACGAATGATCCTGAAGGCGTCCACGACAACCATGAGATCGTTGGCACCTACAAGACGCTCGCGGCAGCCAATGCGGCCGCGCGCGACGATTTGATTAAGGGATGGGGACGCGAGTACTTTGATACGTATGAGGCGAGCGAGGTGGATGGTATGGTGCATGTTATTGCTACTTGCCCGGATGGGGAGGAGATGGTTGTGATGGTTGAGAAGTCGGGAGTGAGGAAGGCGACCCCACCCCGAAGGCTGTCGAAGAGCAATCCTACGTCGTCCTGCGCCGATCTAATACTGACGAAGTTAAAAACATCCTTGGACCCTCTGAGATCGTTGGCACCTATAAGACCCTCGCGGACGCCAATGCCGCTGCGCGAGGCTATTTTGAAAAAGGGCCGGGACTCAAGTACTTCCAGATATGCGACGTGAAGAAGCTGCATGGCAAGGTGGAAGTTTTTGCCAAGAGCCACAACGGCTACCAGGATGTGGGCGTGTTAGTTCATAAGAATATGGCGTCTCCATCCAAAGTAGCCGCGCCGCTGAATCCTGACGCGCAGTACATCTACACGCTGATACGTGAAACGTTAGATTTGTATAAGTCCCATGGCAAGATTGAGATTCTAAGTTCTTACGATACGCTCGCTGCTGCTAATGAGGCGGCGCGAAACAATATGATCGAGGAGTGGGGAAGGGACTACTTTGAGGAATATGAGGTGCGTGAGTATGGTGGGATGGTGCGAGTTAATGCCAATTGCCCCGATGGAAAGGGCATGTATGTGCGTGTCGATAAGGCCGAGGTGAAGAAGGACGGTGTGATCGAGGAAGCCGAGGCCGAGAACCTGACCGTTGACGCACCGGGAGAGATCACCGTCTACCATGTTTCGGCTGTCAGGATTGATTACCAGAATGATCCTGATGGAGTGCTGGAGGGGGCTGTGATAAAGGGGACATACTTGTCGCCTGCGAAGGCGAATAAGGCTGCGCGGGAATATTTGGCGAAGGAGTCGGAGACGAACGACTTTGGTAGGGTTACAGAGACAGTGATCTATGGGATGGTGACTATTAAGGCTAGATGCCCGAAGGAAAAGGAGGTGATGGTTTATGTGGACAAGGGAAAGTTGTTTACTGATGGCGAGGGATTGGAGGAAATGGAGGAGTCGGAGGGTTCCTTGTGTGAGTCTGAAACCGAGTGGGCATAAAATACTAGGGCTTCGGAGCGGAGCGTTTGCTGGATATGCTTTCTTTGAATATAATTTTATTTATACCCCTTTAATATTACGACAATATTCTCTTTATCTAGTAAGCTACGGTAGCATATGGCACATTCTAATGGTGTTACTATAAAATCTAACATGAACTTACTAAAGGACGTAGCGAGTTCCTCGCCAATGAAGACCTTCCAGCGCCAGAAAAGTCGTCCTTTTCTTTTGCAAGGGGCTGGTGAGCCAGTGATCCTCAAACTGCCGAGCGAGACCTTCGTCCTAAAAACCATCAACACGAAGAAGTCGATTGCTGATGTGAGCTCAATGGCGAAAAACGCGTCCTCGCGATCTCACTCCGAGGCTGAGGACAAAAGAACTCTTTGCTCTCGAGATTTGCAGCTTACACTAACGATACGGAGGCAAATACGACCGGGCTGCGGTCGTAATTGCGCTTAAGGGGGGAGGTAGCGAGAAAGGGAGGCGACGGCGAGAAAAGGGGGAGGTGGTGAGAAAGAGGATGTGGCGAGAAAAGGGGGAGGTGGTAAAGAGGATGTGGCGAGAAAGAAAGTAGAATAATCTTTTACTGCGTATGTCTCTCGGGTTCTCACTCTGGTAATACTTGTCAGCTCGTCATACACTCGTTTACTGTGCTCTTCGAGCGTAATTGACGCAACAAACTCGCAGAGCGCAGGCGATGTTGGAGATAACCTTTGTTTCTTGCCCCTATCCATGCGTAATAACCCCGCGAGCACCGAAGATGGTTGATCCTCATCCTTTTGATCTCAGTGCAACTTATACGAGCAATATGCTGTTTGAAGATCTCTAATCCATACCTATTTTACAAAGCAAGTAATATCGCATACAATTACATAATCCATAAAAAAATCCCCGTCTCCTAAGACATTCTACCTATACTTAAGCTCATCTAATACCGGCTTCAGCTCCCGGTACGACTCTCGAAGGCAGTGCTGGAATCCAGTTATCTGTTGTTAGCATACCTCAAGTGTCGCAGTTAGTGTTCGCACATACAATCAGCCGTCCGATCAAGCGTAATCGCATTCGCCATGCCCCAGAGATGAAGAGTCGCCGGACTGTTGCCCTGGGTAGCACCCGCCCGTCCGACAAGATCCTGGGGTATTTCAAGTCTCGGGTTGGACGACGATTCTTCGTAATAACTATTTAGCTCTCAAAATAATTACGACAAGACGGATATACATACTATGAGCGAAATGCCGCGTATCGTGATGGAACTCAAGCGGGATCAGCTCCGGTCTTGCGGAGTGGAACCATCGCCTTGTAATGCTCTATCTGCCTGGAAAGGCTGGCTGAACTCGGGGTCGAAATAGACATATGCACTCCCCCGATCTCCGAGCCAGACATCGATCTGGCGGGTGATGGGCGTTCCTTGGGGGCTCATGGTGATGAGCTGCGCGGTCGCGGTATGGTGGGAGCGTTGGATGGTAGCTTTGCCGAACGATCGAGTGAATACACGTGCTTGAGGTAGAACACGGAACATGGCGAGAGTAGATCTGGGATGCTGAACGATTTGAGATTCTCCTGGGAAGTTGAGATGGTATGTTAGTTACGCGCGCGGGTGACGAAACTTGCGCTGTCCGTGGGTGCAACATTGGGTATCATACCATACTGTAAACGCGAGGAACTAAATGCAAACGCGGAACAAATAGGTCCTGGTGGAGGTTCGATGCAGAATATGGTGTGGATTAGCGGAAACTCCTATAAGGTGCCATGAGCGAAGTGGCATGACATAGCTACTGTACTCACCGGTCTCGAGAAGGGACACTGCTTCTCCATTATTATTCGAGAAGGTCTATCCAAGGATCTTCAACCGTGAGTTTCCCATAAACCAAGAAATATCACCTTCCAGATGCAAATATATTTTCTCCTAACAGCGCACCTGTTGAAATCTCGGGCGTGTGTAAGATCCCCTGGATGGCCAGCCAACTCAGAGCACATAACCAACTTCGTCACTTCATGGATATCCCGGCGTAGTATAGACACTTCACAGAATCCGAGGAAGTGAATCTACATCTTGATGATCTTGACGCGAGCAATCCCTTCAAAGATCTCCGCTTTGCTCATAAAACCTAGAGCCAAAGAGGGTAGTAATGAACACTAACAGGGTTCCCCACGGGGAAGATGCCGGAGGAGGAGTACGCCAGTACGCCACCATGCGCCGGACAGATGGGAGGACTTGATTCCCCGCCCCGTCCCAAACGATCGATTGGAACGCCGGCGACGAGCTTGGCTACTGACATTGGCTTAACCAGCCTACGGAGAAGAGGACAACCGACACAAGAGCGGTCTGTGACATAGCTAGTCTCCAGAACAACGCATACGACAAACAACACAAGAGCGATCTGTGAAGTAATTAGTCTCTAGAACAGCGCACAAGAAGCTAGACCCGGGAATTCTTGGCCGCTAAACCATCAACAGATCATCCGGCACCGAGAGAAGGGATTTATTTAGATTGAAAAACGCGGGGTAGCATGCTTTTTGGCGTAGGGGGCTTGGAAATTTTGGGCATTGGCCCCTGAGCTGCAGTCCAGTATAGCTTTCGGGTGCTCATGGCCGCTCGATCGTCATCAGTGTTTGTGGAGTTAAGACACACCGTTTGCGTTGTTTGCATTGTTTGCACTGTTTGCATTGTTTACATTGATGAGAAAATGATATTCCTGAAATTATTATCGAGTAAGAGCTCGGATTAAACCGTTCGTATCTTGTACGTCTTATCCCAATCTGTCGTATCTGTCCGTATCTCCCGTATCTTGCAAGGGCATGGGATTTCTTATCTTTGGGTTGACAAGAGGTTTATCCTGGGGAGGATCACGGAGGGATACTCGGGGAATTGCTGCTCTATCATTCTCTGTATCGGAGATGCCTATCTGTTATCAATCTTTGAGAATCCTTGCCCACTCACCCATATCTGAGCTGTGGAGTAGAGGTGGGTGGGCCATCTCTGGGCCTTTCTTGGCACCATACCCCCTCCAACGGCTCCATTATTTGGCCTTCAATATGTCTCAAGTTGTAAATCAATCACCCAAAGAAACTGGTAGCAATATGCTCTCAAAAAAAGTAAATGTCATAAAAAAATGAAGTATTCGCCTGCTATATATATCTTCAAGATAGTCATAAAATCGTTTCACTCCCTACACAATCTCCTCCGACGCCCCGCGCCTCCTAACTCCATCCTCATACATCGCAGCCCCAGCCTTCTCATCCTCCTCGCTATCGCTGTCAGCCAGATGCGGGTTATCAATCGCATCCCCGACCTCCAGCCACGTAGCGCTGACTGCCGGCACAGGGCTGATTCGGCACAGCGCATAGTACACTATCGCCGCTACTATGAACCCACAGAAGTAGTTCAGATTGTATATGTACTGCGCTCCAAGCGGCGCGGACGGCCCTCCCGTCGGCTCGCGAACAGCGCCCACGAAGCCAACGATGTTAATCAAGATCCCAGCAATGTATGCCGCATAAGCGCGCCAGTTAAAGCCGTAGGTGAAATAGTATGGTGCTGTCTTCTTGGCCGTGTATAGGTCCTTGATCTGTAGGTAGCCTTTGCGCACGATGTAGTAGTCGCAAAGCATGACGCCGGCGATGGAGGAGAGGAAGACGGAGTAGGCGGAGAGGTAGGTGGTGAAGTTGTTGCTGGAGGAGAGGAGGTTCCATGGGCACATGGCGAAGCCGACGGCGGCGCAGATGTAGCCGCCGCGACGGATGGTGATGTAGCGTGGTAGGAGGGCCGTCAAGTCGGTTCCAGCGGAGACGGAGTTGGCGGCGATGTTTGTGCCGAGTTGTGCGAGGGTGAAAGAGGCCGCGATGAAGAAGACACCGGCGCGGTTGCCGTGGCCGCCTTCTTGTAGGAATTTGGCGAGCAGGTCGAGAGGGTTCCAAATGGCTTCGCCGCCGAAGATGACCACCGAGCACGAGGACACGATGATGCCGATAAACGAAGTGATGCCGAATCCGACGGGAATGGTGAATAGCTGCGACCAGAAGGCATCCTTTGGCTTGATTGCAAAGCGAGAGAAATCGGGTACGTTGACAATCAGCGCGCTGAAGTTCGCAATAGAGGACATGATGCCTTTAATGATTGCCCAAGCAAGTTCGTTGCCGTGGATGACGTTCGGCTTGTTGACAACTGGTCCCAGCCCCTTAGCTCTGACCACACCCCAGATGAAGAAGGCAATTCCTGCGACTGGAACGACGAGGGACTTGGCCGTAAACAAATGCCTGATCTGGTGAACGTGTGGGTATAAAGCTGGGAGCGAGCATAAACAGAAGAGAAAGAAGGAGAGGAAATCCTTCGTGGTAGTTCCGGAGCTGGCGGGCATCGAGTTCGGGAGCTGCTCATATCGAGGCCAAATAGCTGTAATCATGAGAGTAACACACTGGCCACCTGTAGTTGCGTTAGTTTGTCACGACAAACATATAGATCTGGGAGAATTCATCATACCAATCCATGCCTGAACACCATACCAGATACAAGCCATTGCAGACCTGTTAAAAACAGGCCAAAGCCCACCCCAGACACCGAAAGAGGCACGACTTGCCACTGGGAATCCGATGTGATAAGTAGCACCAATACGTCCTGTTGCAACAACGAACGCACCCGCAATCGAGTAGCCGACCCATACGCAAATCCACGCTTGCCACCACGAGAGTCCAGCCACAACACTGGAGGAGGCGATCATCCATGTGTTGATGTTGAAGGAGTCGGCAATCCAGAAGCCGACATAATTCCAGGGACCCCATTGCCTCCGAGCAGGTTCAACTGGAAAGGTTCGTCATGTTGCGGTCTAATATGGAGCGTTCAAGGCTCTTACCAGGCTTCAAATCCTCGTTCGCGAGCATCGTCTGCGCTCTGCTCAATCCTTCCTCTGTCTCGACGGAAATAAGGTTCAAAATCGCCCTGCCCGACGGCAGTCGCATTTTTGGTGCCATATTGATTGTCGAGTTCGTCTCAATTGTCTGCTGTAGTTGCAGAAGATCGGATTGAGAGCTCAAAAGTGGTGGCGGCGAGGTAGGTGATATGAAAGATTTCTCGCCACTGAAGACTAGTGGATAACACGGAGTATGATGAAGCCTTATCCGAGGCCAGATGATACTCGATACCGAGGGAAGTTTACGGAATCAAGCCTTGGGTGGGTGGATAGGTGAATAGTGGATAGAATGGGCAATGGAGCATTTATTGATGGGGACCCGAACGTGGGTATATATATACACGATACCATTCTCCCAAGCCGAACAGGCCGCCCCACGTCGCCGAGATACTAGATTGATAGAATTGGGACAGCTGAGCACCTGAACGGTGGCTCACAGGCGTACAATTCCACGTCGTCCCTGGCCGGAATCCCTGGGGCCTGCGAAAATAGTAAGCCCCAAGGGCATCCGGTAAGATCCTTTTTGCGGGATCCTTTTGCGGGGTGATACCCATAGTGATGTCAATGGCCGAAGCTTAGAACCGTGCAGTGAGCGGCCGGCCACCACATGCGAGCAAAAACTGGGATATTCCTCCAACCGGCGCGCTCGTATGTATGCGATTCTCGGTCGTTGACGATGTACCAGGCACAATACTGGATCGTTGGTATACGTACCGTATGTGGGGAAGTAGCGAGACCACTGCCGTCGTCGCCCATGTTTATGCCTAGCGCCAGTGTGGTTGTTAGTTTAGGTTAATTTAGGTTAGAGTGTCTTTAGCGCCGCCTAAGCGTCTCCAGGGGTCGTGCCTACCTACCAGAACCAGATAAGATAACCGTGATAACATGTGCTCCGAGCGCTGGTTTACTCGATCTCATCGAGTCACACACGCCAAACCCGCCGGTATGGATCAGATAGGTGCGGCTCTGCCAGATAAGGTAGAATAAGAGTAGGGTTGACTGTCAGTGAAGCACGTGAGTGTGGGACGACTCTTTGCCGTCCGGTATGGCATTTTCTGGGGCGGTTTGCGTGGTGTTGTTCGGCTTCAGAGAGTTGTCAGGGCCGGTTGTTGGTGGGTTTGTGCGCGATGTCGGCGTCGGACGGGAGAGTGTTTGCCGCCACGACAGGCTATTGTTCGGGTGGTATCCTTTGCTGTTGTTCGGAGTCAGACTAGATTCACGACCAGATTCATGTCGTTTGTTCGGCATCAAAGACAGGACAGTTTGCTGCTATGGCAGGCCATTGTTCACAGTTCGCAGTCATATCCTTTGTTTCCACTGAACGTCATTGTTCGGCGTCGGGTCCCTGTTGTCGTTGCATGCCATTGTTCATTGCCAGGCCGTTTGCTGTCGTTGTCTGCCATTGTTCAGCGTCAAAGAAGTGGCAGTTTGCTGCCTCTGGACGTCATTCTTCAGCGTCAGGTCCTTTGCTGTCGCTGGGTGCCATTGTTCGAAGTCAGGCCTTTTCCTGGCAGTTTCACGTCATTGTCCAATGTGAGCCCTTTTCCCGCCAGCTGTCATCCATCATTGTTCAGTGCCAGATCCCTTGCCGCCAGTTGTCCATTATTACCCAGTGCCAGATCCTTTGCGGTCGCATGTGCACGAAGCCTCGCCACCACGTCTTTGTCGACATTTTGCACATCTCATGCCCACTGCCACTGAGAGTCGCGCACAATACGTGTGCTCCGTTGAGAATTTCTTGCTGTATGCGTCGACGATTGATTTCGTTATCACGAGCAACGGTATTGCCGTTATCCTTGTCCTCGTCGATCTTGGCACCGATCCTCGTCTGGTTGCACTTTTTCCCCAACGAAGCCGGTAGTGCTGAAACAAAGCGACAGGAGATTCCATAAAGAAAATCCATGCCCACCGCCAGTATAATGCCTTTCTGCATCGAAGTGATGGGAGATTTCATAAAGAAAGTTCATGCCGAGTGCCAATAAAATGCCTTTCTGCATCGTCGACAAACTTTCAATGAAAGCAACGGCTACTCTGCCCGCCGCAGCTCCTTTTTCGACCAGACCACACGTATAATTGAAGCCAACCGACATATGGGCCAGTCCAGAAGCTCTGCAGAATGGACCGTGGGCAAATCGAAATAAAGCGACGGGACAAGCAACTCAATAGATGTCTTTGTCCATGTCCAGTGCTGTCCACCCACAATGGATTCCGTGCCTGTGAGCCAATCCAGAGCCATACGGGACGGACCGCTGGTGAATTGAAAGAGAATGGCCGGACAAGCATATGAATGGATGTCTTTATCCATATCGTGTTGTTCGTCTGGGAGAGGTTTCGTATGTGAATCTCATCTGAACAGCATCGTTGTTTGTTCATGAGAAATCCACCCTTCCCTTCCAACATCTGTTGCAATGAGGATTCTTCTAATAAAGACCTGATGGGTATATGATCCATCTCTTCTCCTTCCATCATCCTCTCTTTTCTTCCTACCATAACGTTCTTCTCCTGTCACCGCGGTATTCATTGCTTCTCGCTCTGTCATCATCGCAGAGGTAGGTCGGTATCTGTGATACTCCCTTGGACTCACTGAATCAGTATTCAATCCAATCCTGATTCTCTCGTTCATTTCATTCAAGTTCATATCACCACTCTGTTGCTCTGTGAGCTCGGTTTCACACGATGTGCAACCTCGACGATACCTACTACTCCACCTGCACCCATTTCGGTCCGCGGATCGTCACCTCCCACTGCGCACGGGGCCTGACTCACAATGGCTGCGCCAAAACTGGGTGCTGGGGCAGTGAAGTCACTGGCATCTCGCGAGTCGTCTCACTTTGTCCGAGCTGCAAGATCAGGACACGGAGCGAATCCAGTCACTCCAGGGATCTTCAGCCAGAGGGTGGGCGTCCGGAGAGTCAGATCGACAACGATGACATTGGAGTAAGAACCGAGGCAAGCAAGGGGCACGGCAAAGACAGAGGGATCTGGTTGAGGAGGCTTGGGACGATTTGGGATCGCGCAGAAGACAGGTGAGTTGATCGGTGAGGGGTGTTTGGAGAAAAGCAGAAAACTAACGAAAACGCAGCTGGGTTCGATGGCTCACAATGCATTTTGCGAAGTGAGGAAGCAGGCGATGCTGTTTGGCGCTTCGAGGATTGGCGTTTGGAGGATTGGAGGATTGGAGTATTGGCGCTTGGGGGGTTGGCAGTGGAATTCGGGTGCTCGTGGATATGAGGAATGCAGCTTGTTGAGCGACGCTGCCTTGGAGTTGGCGGGCTGCTTGAATGCGGCAGGATCATAAGATATGATATCGATATCAAGTGCTATGCACGTAAGTAACAATGAATGAAGGCGCTGGCCGTCTTGTTGCCTCTCAAATCGTAAATTGTGGACCATGGTGTAATATATGTGTGATGGCCTGTCTTTATAACAAAACCCCCGTGATTGTAGCGACTTCGCATAACCCCCTGAACACCTTCCTGCCTCACGGGTAGGAAGAATAAAACAAGAATCCAATACAGGCCAAAAAAAATGAAAAAAAAGGCCAAAAGAAGAACTGTACACACGTGAATGCGTACAGAGTAAGAACCCTCCTCACTGATGCCGCTTCCTTACTTTTAGGGAATTTACAAGGGGCGACCGATTTGAGGCTCGAACCCGGAGGCTCGAGTTCAGAATCGGAAGCACTATCATTGATGAAACAGAGCACTTCCCATACACTTAATGGGCTTTTTGGCACTTATATACCCTCCACAGTCCGCGTTTGTACTGTGGACTGGGAAAGCAGTGGGAATCATCACAGCCACAGAGAAACAGGCGAAAGAGCTGGGCACTTCGGCGAACAACGTAAGAAAATAACTTAGCCTTTGCCCACAACTTTGTTTGTAAATTCAATACAAAGAATAATCTCATTATCAAATAACCATTGATTATCTAAAGGGGCATCCACTGCCGTCATCAAAGGTTAATATCACGGCCGGGAAGAACCTATATCCGCAAGGGTCAATGTCTAGCCGACACCAGGGACCCATAACCCTGCAAGCCCGATAAAGTGATGCCTTGTTATCTCCTCCTCGCATTCTGGGCAATGCTTAATTAAACAACTCTTGTTGGGACTAAATGGACAGGAGTCCTCGTCATATACAGGCGCGCTACAGATTGAAGCCGCCGCAGCTTCCATTCGCCCATTGCTGCAACATTGGCTCCACAGCTTGCCCCACGCGCCTGGGACGGCGATAGAGAAGTGTCTTGGGAAGTTGGCAGCCGGCACGGTGTGCCTTGATACCTTCCAATATGGCTATTCGATGGCGCTCCCAGAGCGTCGTATTAGCTGTTCTCGTCACATTTATATTCTTTTTTGTGTTACGGAACGACAGATTGCGAGGGGCCTCGATCAACCCTGATCATGGGAGTCCCGGAGGAACACCCGTCGAGGCCCAGTTCGATGAGAAGATGGAAGGAGAATTCATGAAGGAGCTTGATATATTTTATGGAGAGGTTCGGAAGTAAGCATCTATATATATGGACTCAATCCTGTGCGCGAAACTAATTACGTCGGCACCAGGTCCAGAACCCCAGGAGCAATTTATACCCCGACCCTGAAGAACCTCGAAACAAACGCTACGATTATGGACCAAATAAGATACCCTAATGCATTAAGCCCTCCAGCGATCGAGGCGCCATATAGCCCTATACCGCCCAAATCATACTCTCCCCAATATGAGATCCAAGACAAGAATCAATGGGCAGTCAGTCACCCCGCCAAATTCACGAAGTGCGGAAGCCCCTGGAGCAATTTTGGTATATCAGACAATATCCAAACCTTTGCAGGCAATCCCAAGGGATTCCCGTCCCCGGGGTTTGGAGACCGCGACGCCCTGGACTGGGAGAAATATACGTGCTTTGACAGGCAGGGGAGGTTCGGTCGATATGGCTACATAGAAGGGAAAGGGGAATCGGAGATCAAGCCAGCGATTAACTGGGAAATTGTTAATTGGGGGGCGCTTCAAGATCACTGTCTTTACAAGAATGTTGAGCGATTCCCAATGCCCCGTACCGAACCTGGACAGAACCTCAAAGGGTTGGGTTGGATGTCGCCAATGGACCGTTCGCATATGAAGCGAAGCATTCAGCCGAGACAGGATCCTTCGAAAGGGGAGACTCCACGACCAGACCCTAATAGGGTGCCTCCACCACCAGTGGCAAACAGAACTGCTATCCTTATCCGCGCCCGCTATGACACTGTCTACAGGGAGAATGATGTGCTCAATATTCGTGCATTAATCAACGAGCTCTCCTTCAAGACTGGAGGCGAGTACCAGGTTTACCTCTTAGTCGAAGTCGAAGACTGCGACGACGCAACATGGACAGACAAAAGCCTTTATGACGCCGTAGTCGCCAAATCCGTCCCATCCGAATTCAGCGAAATGGCACACATCTACACCGAGCGCCTTCTTCGCTCCTGGTACCCCGCCATGCCCTCCAAGGCCGATGTCGGTGGGCCTGTCCTCGAGAAACTCGAATGGCTCCCCATCCAGCGCTTTGCGCATCTCAATCCCTCATATGCCTATTTCTGGAACTGGGACCTCAATGTGCGCTTCACGGGGCATTACTACGACCTCGCAAAGTCCCTTCCGCGCTTTGCACAGCGCCAGCCCCGTAAGTGTCTCTGGGAGCGCAACGAGCGCCTCGCTACGACCTCACTCGACGGACCCTACGAGACTGTCTTCCGCGATAAAGTCGAAAAAGAATCCGACCCCGAGGCAATCATCTGGGACGTCCCCGTCGTCCCGGAGTTTACGCAGCAAGGCCCTAGACGGCCACCAGCTGAGGAGGCTAAGAATGAGCATTTCATGTGGGGACTGGGCGAGAAAGCGGATCTCATCACGCTGTTCCCGATCTTCAATCCGGTGGGCACGACGTGGAGTGGTCGCAATGATGTTTGGGGTTATAAACATGGCAAGAACTTGGCGCGGCGTGCGACGTCTGGGACATTCGGCATAGCGTCAAAGAGACTCCTTGACCTTATGCAGAAGGAATCTCTTGAGGGGCGCTTCCTAAATGCTGAGATGGCTGCACCGACGGTGGCGCTGCTGCATGGTCTGAAAGCCGTATATGCACCTCAGCCGATTTGGTTTGAGCATGCGTGGATCGGTGAGGGATTACGGAGATACTTCAATTCAGGCCCGAGGAAGGAGGTGGGAAGTAGCCAGAGGAGTTTATACGGTAGTGGGAAGAGGGGCATGCTTTGGGAGGGAAGCACTTTTGATACCAACTCTAAAGCAGCGGCTAAGATGTGGGATAAGTGGATGGGGGTGGGGGAGGGTGCGGCTGAGGTACGTTCTTGATCAGTTTCCTTTCGGCATGCAATGGCTAACTCCGTGCTTTTAGTTCGAGAAAAAGAACGGTCGCATGTGCCTGCCGCCCATGCTACTCTTTCCAGTCCAGGACAAATCGCCCGTCGTGTGGAAGTATTCGCCACCGACTGGCGCTGAAATTGCGAAGAATTAACCAGATCCGGACGACTGTTGGAGCTTTTCATGTATATAATTATTTATCTGGTTTTGACAGTGTCCGGCATGTGCTGTGTAGATATACGAGTTCATTGGATAACGGCGTTTGGGAGGGATGGGTTCTAGATTCTCATAGAGAGGGGGCGGCATGTTGGGCGTGGGGGAACTTCTGTGGTGTGTTTGGCAGTTATGGATCTCGAGTCATGGAGATAGCCACAATCTTGGGGTAAAGTGGAACATGTAACAGCACGACAACAAGACATTATGAATGACACCTTTCAATATCTATTAATGATCGTCCTGTGACATCATTGAGTTAACAACTCACCGCTACAAACGAATCTCTCCCTCCAATTCCAACTCTCGTTGGGTGCGAAGATGAGGGGTATTGTGGGGAAATACGCTAATCCCCGCACCCCACACCCCGCAATAATGTCAAAAGGGGGAAGGCTTGGTAGACTGTCGCCCAGTATGTAGATCTGGGTATCACCTTCTCAGCGTGGGGGTAATGATAGACAGTCGCCCAGTATGTAGAACTGGGTATCACCTTCTCAGCGTGGGGTAATGATAGACAGTCGCCCAGTATAAAGATCTCGATATGACCTTCTCAGCACCATCCTGTTGCCTCCCGGGGTATCAACTTATCAACTCTCGCCTTTAAGTACTCGGGATTCATTAAAAACACACCAATGGCACCAATCGACGCTGCAAAGGTTCAGGAGCAGGCTCCGCCTGTGGGAGACAGGAAGACAGATTCAAGCCATTTGGAAAATGTGGAAACCGGTGTCAAGTTGACTCAGTTTGACGGAGAGCGGGTGATTGTCACAGAGCAAGATGTAAGTCCATTATCTACACGAGATAGAAGTGATTTCTCCTACTAATATCCATCAACAGAACAGAATTATCCTTCGCAAAACAGACAAGACAATCTTGATAATACTCGTCTGGGTCTACTTCCTCCAAGTTAGCATTATGCTCTTCCTTATTTCTTCCCTACAGCCCACTGACTTAACCTAGATCCTCGACAAATCAGTCCTCGGATATGCCTCCCTCTTCGGTCTCCAAAAAGACACCGGGCTGAAAGGCTCAGAATACTCCATGGTCGGCTCCATATCTCCCATTGCGCAACTAGTCTGGCTCCCCTTCACCTCTGCCGTAATTGTCAAGGTGCCCCATCGCATCCTGATGCCCGTCCTCATCCTCGGTTGGGGGCTCGCACAAACCTGTATGGCTGCATCGCACAGTTACGCCGGACTCGTCACCACCCGGTTCTTCCTCGGCCTATTCGAAGCTGCGTGCCTGCCTCTTTTCGGCGTCATTACCGGCCAGTGGTACCGTCGTGCTGAGCAGCCCGTCCGCATCGCAGCCTGGTATGGAACCAACGGCATCGCAACGATCGTTGCAGCAGGCCTTTCCTTCGGTCTAGCCCATATTCCCAGCAGCACCCTCAAGTCATGGCAGATGTAAGCCTTACCCCCTCCAATCCCCGCATCCAACAAACGCACAGTTACTAACCTATCACCAGCATCTTCCTCTTCGTCGGCCTCATCACCGTCGTCACCGCCCCCTTCGTCTACTGGAAACTCGAAAACGACGTCGAAACCGCCCGCTTCCTCACCGACCACCAGCGCGCCCAAGCCATCGAGCGTCTCCGCGCGAACAACACCGGTATCGGTTCCCGCGAATTCAACTGGAGCCAAGTCATCGAGGTCTTCCTCGACCCGAAAACATACCTTTGGTTCGCGCTATCGCTCCTCCTCAATGTCGGAGCAGCAGTGACGAACGTCTTCGGACCGCTTATCCTCAGTGGACTGGGGATGGATAAATCTATCACTTCGCTCCTTAACATGCCCTTCGGCGCGGTGCAATTCCTCGTTATCCTAGTATCGAGTTACGCTGCTCAGAAGGCGAAGCTAAAGGGCGCTGTTCTGCTCGTCCTCATGCTCCCCGTCGTCGCCGGGTTGGCAGTCCTCTACTCCCTCCCCCGCAACAGCGCCAACCTTGCCCCCAACCTCGTAGCATACTATCTCCTTGCCTTCCTCTTCGGCGGGAACCCCCTCCTCGTCACCTGGATCATCGGGAACACCGCCGGGACAACCAAGAAGACTGTTATCATGGTGATCTACAACATCGGCAGCTCAGCTGGTAACATCATCGGTCCGCTCTTGTTCACCACAGCGGATGCACCGAGCTACCTCCCTGGGCTGCGCGCGGTCTTGGGCTTGTTCTGCGCGATGGTTGTGGCGATCTTGGCGCAGTGGTTTTTGCTGTTTACGATGAATAAGAGCCAGGAGAGGAAGAGGGTTGCGAATGGGAAGCCGGCGAAGCTTACGGATAGGTCTATGATGGATCATTATGAGGCGCAGGATGATATGGATTACGGAAATGGCGATGCGGCGTTGTATGATCTTACGGATCGTAAGAATGATGAGTTTGTGTATATTTACTAAGGGAAATGGGATGCGTACACGAGCGGAGTTGATGGGACATCATGGCTAGTTTATTATGATCTTTAAGCAATGAATGATGATTAATTATGTGCTATGTTGACAAATCCCATAAAATTGATCGTAGCATAAGTACTACATAAATGATTCCATATTATTCGGAAATTCATTCAATGGCACATCACAACATCTAGGGCGCAAAAATATGCAATGCTGGTCTTTTGATTCCGATGATCCCACTGACCATATATAATCCCCATCTCCAATCAATCTATAGTCAATTTCTCAGATCCCACCTCTCCTACTCCCGAAAAAAACGCCCATCATCCCATTCATCTCGGCCCCTTCCAGCCAAGTTTGGTAAGGCGCGCGGAAATGCCAAATATAACCGCAGACCACCAGTCCCATCCACCTCTTATCCTTTCCTAAAAATAAAAAAAACCAGAGAGAAAAAAAGTCAAAAGCGCAAAAAAGGGTATTCACAATTGTCCCGAGCGCCCTCCCGCCGAGACAATTCCCAGCGTGCATGCGAGACGCCAAATATATACAAAACCCCCCTCCTCCTGTAACCGTGCACGGCCGTGCAAGTCGGATCCGCGCCCATTGGCATCTTATTGATTCCCATCCCCGAGGGTCAATCCGCCAACGCCATAATCATGCTTCCCAGTAGTTTTTATCAATGATGATGAAACTGTACGTTCGTGCGAAACAAAAAATGCACATGAAAAAGAAAGAACAAAAACGACACTGGCCGCATAAGCGGCCGAAAAGTGGGGAGATGGATAAAAATGAGGTACAGGAAACAAGAGCATCGAGAACACAAAAAATATGTCTCGGTACGGTGCACTCTACCCAGCCTCGCCCATGAGATGGGCGAGTTGGGAATCCCAATTTTGTAACGCAGCTAGGCTTATCCGGTAAGCTGAAACTATATCTTTGCGGGCCGTTATGAGACCAAGCTCATTGTTTTGGGGGCGTGTTAGTGATAGTAGGTGTTGTGCCTCCGCTGTGGGTACTAGAGGGGCGAGAGCGTTGCTGTTGAGGTTGGGCCTTATGTTTGGCAATAACGGCAAGCTTTCTACGGAGCGTGAGGAGGCGACCTTTGACCATGGCGACAACTGTCGCTAGTTAGAATTTATGTTAAAAAAGTATATGCTAGTTGAAAAACTCACGTTTCTTGACCGCATCCCGATCATCGACATTGATGCCGTTCACGGGATCATCTGGGTCTTTCTCTGTCACTTGCGCGGTCCCCACCTTCTTTTGGGGCTCATCGTCATCCTTCTCAAGAATTGCTTCCAACATACGAATTGCAGTAACGTATGAGAGTTCGCAGCCAACAAGATCTTCGTTTGCAATCTCATTGATGGCGGCCGATCGGCTCATCTCAATAGCTCTATCATACATCAGCCTCTCAGCTGTTGTACCAGCGCTGAGAAAAACGCCGTCGGCTGTTGAGCTATCTCCTCCATACATCCTCGAATCGTCGGTGTGGTTGCTTGGATGGCCTGGATGGTCCTCGGGGAGTTGTTTCTGGGCATCGATGAGTTTCAATCGAGAGAACTCCGCCTTTTCAAGAACTTCGTTAAATCGGCTCCGCATCCATTGAACGGCACTGTTTATACGGGCTGCGGCGACAGCAGTCTCGGTTTTCACGGTAGTTGCGCTACTGGCGGCCTCCGCTCTCTTCTTCTTGTTCCACCATGAATTTGCAATGCCCATCGACTTTGCCAGCAAAGTCAGAGATTTAACGTATAAAACCAGTGCTTCCTCTGATAACGAAACAACGGCATCAGGTGTGAGGCCATCATCCTCTTGGTCCACTTCCCTTGCGTTGTTTCCACCCAGGCCATGGTCCATAGACGGCGCAAGCGGGATGAGCTGCTTGTATTTGACCTCTGCAAAGCCATATACAACGTCAGATCTGGTTGCCAGCGCTTCGATTCTATCGCCTATTTTGACATCCTCATCATTGGATTTTCCGGGTTTGCCGTCAGTGATCATACCAGCAATACCTGGAGAAGTCGCAAATCCCGTAAACGCGCCATATAGTTGAGGTGGCGATTGCCCTCTCAGCAATTGCGGCGCGTACCCAGAAATCCCGAAGAGTCTAAGACTTGCATTTGATATGGCTTTTGTGATCGCAGAAGTTGCCGAGCTGGGACTGCCGTAAGAGCGATCGTACGACGATTTGCGGTGAGGGTTTTGTTTCCCTTGGGCTATCTGCATGCCGCTAGGGGAAATCGGAGGTGAGGTTGCAGGCTGGTTGGACGATGGCGTCCCCTCTGTCTGTGCTCTTCTCCTCATGTTTGCTCGCGGTGAGTTAGGCTGCGCCGGTACTGCCCCTCTGGAATTGGCGTCCATCTCATCCGCAAAGGAGTTAACCTCAACGTAATTCTTCTCTACAACAATATACTCGCGCTCGTCCCTCACGTCCTGGGCAGCTCTCTCTTTCTCGTCTCTCCTCAAATTGTCGTTACGCGGGGGAACTCGTTTTCTCTCGTTTAATAACGAAGAGCCAGGTGATGGGGAGTCCTGGCTCCTGCCCCGAACCATGTCAACTGGACCAGCGCTTGGTCGCCTTTCCATAGCTTCTTCGGTTGAAGGATATTTGTTTGGAACAGTGCTGGATGTATGTATCACTGGCCTCCGTGAGGTAGTGGACGGTCCAGGGTTGGCCTGAAACCGCTCGGCTTGCGCTCTAGGTGGGGTACCATGAGGCTGCCGTGATCTATGTTGTGCTTCGTCGAACGTCTCTGTAGGAACTGCTCTAGAAGCATTTGACACTATCCCAGTGGACCGTGTATCATTCTCGCTGACGCCCCTACGAGATATTCTGGCCGAAAATTGACCGCTCGTAGATTCTGGTTCTTCGGGCCTTGGTGTTGGACGGATTTCCTCGGGCCTGTCGTCTCCTACCAAGCCCCGGATATTATTAACTATTATCGGATGAGCAAAGAAGTTATCAAAGCTAAGACGTTCAACAGGGTTCTTTTTAAGAAGTCCCTGAATGACTGATTTCAAGCCGTCACTGATAGCAATGCCTGAATCCCATGGAAGGTCCTCGGACTGCATCTCTATTTTGCGGAGAAGCTCGACATGGTTTGCGGCACGGAATGGAGGCCTGCCGGTCACCATTTCGTACATAACAGTGCCGACAGACCATAAATCAGCCTTTGCGTCGTACTTTTCGTACCGCAATATCTCAGGCGCCATATAAAGCGGCGAGCCACAGAGAGTCTCTGCTAAGCTTGCCGCTGGTAGAGACCTTGCGAAGCCGAAATCGGCCAATTTCAGCATCGGAAGTGAGAGTAATCCCGCGGCTGGAATCAGAGACTCAACACTTGGTGACATCAGAAGAGGGCTTTGAGGATGTGCTGACATATACTGCGGTGACGGAAGTAGCAGCATGTTTTGTGGTTTGACATCGCGATGTATGAAGTTCCTGTCTCTAAGAAACTCCAACGCGCTCGCAAGTTGTTTGAGGAAGTGCACGCTGATCACTTCGTTCAGCCCACCTTTCTCCGGATTTGGATACTTCCTCGCCATTTCCGCAGTCGCCGCATTTGTCGAGAACTTCGAGCGCTTCCTGATGAATAACGACAAGTCGCCTAGCTCGCAGTATTCCATTACCAGGTGTATATGTGTATCGGTTTGATGGCGGCCCAACAGGGCGACGATATGAGGATGTTGAAGAGATTGGAGGATGTCGATTTCTTGATTAAGGTTCTCTTTTAACTTTCGATTCAGTTTCGCCAAGTTGACCGATTTGATGGCAACAAGAGCACGGGTTGTCTGCATGAGTGTGACAGTTAGCAAGAGTACTTAATAGTATATGGGTTGCACATAGACTTGAGTAGTGCTTCAGTCACTCAGACCTTGCAGTCGTAGCTCAGGCCCTATCCAAGCGCAACATGGGGTTGGAAGTTCACATACCCTTCGGTGAGCTCTATATACCGTGGCAAAGCTTCCTTTGCCTATTTCTGTGTCGATCCTGTATGCCCCCACCAACGTGTCGTTCATCCGCGATGAGGAGGACCTCGAGCTTTGTGGAAACGCCATGTTGGATGGCCAGTGGTACCTTGCTGGGTATGAGTCTGGATCTCAAGCACTCTTCCCCGACCACGTTGACCAAAGCTTTCCAGCTCTTGTGTTAATGCATGTACACACACGATGTGAAGCGATGGGTCCGGCTTCAGTAGGTCGTGAGTTTCGTATATAAAGGCAGCTACTGAGAGCTATCAACCAATAGAGTCGGGAAGCGTGTGGCGTGTGGCGTGTAGCTGCACGATCAGGCCAGCCGGATCTGCGTGCAACGTCTGGCAAAGAAGTATTTCGTTCGGTATAGTGTATCCTCAAGATATCCTCCACGGGCTTGGGAGTTTAAAGAGCGGATAAGGGCGTCGTTGGTGGTGGGGCGTCGACGAGGTTCAAGTTAATGACTCGAAGCGGTACCGAGTGAGTAGCTTGGGGGGGAAAGGCGCCTGGCAAGATAAGGCTGGGATACGGTGAAGTGGGTTTCTACAGAACAAGCACCAACTTGCTATATAGTAGCTGTAGAATGGTGGAGTTGTCAATGCAGAATTCAAGATGAAGATATATCGTTTGTTGTTGGGGGGAAAGGGCCGAGCGAGAATAAGGGACGAAGGGGAAGTGGGAAGGGAGAAGGGAAGGGAGTAGACAGAAAGGTTGTGGTTGACTGATTGTTGAACTTTGTGGTAACGAGGTATCTCCCGTGATGTGATGCTTGACTATTTAGGCTAGTATGGGGGACCGTAGCGGACCGTCAACGTTCGCGATAAGACGCCATGAAAGTGACGTTTTATGGCGATAAGGGAAAAATGGCGGGATCACGGGATCAGGGATCTGTGAATCAGAATTACCATATACAGAAACTGAATCGTGGCGGTGTGTCTTGCTCACAGCATATACATACTTGCATATACTGCATGTGCTACAATGAGATGTTTCGGCGGTTTATGTGTTACTCCCCTTTATAGAACTTCGAATGGCGGAAGTGGTACAATACAGTACAGTACAGTTCTGTCAGTTTATATTGCAGATGACGAAGGCTGGGTTTTAGCGTCAGTCATGTGTCAAGGCAGACGCGTTGGGAATCCACAATTCAGGCGGCTGTTCCTGACCTGGCTCCTGACGCAACAAGCTCGTCATGAGGAAGACATGGGCTCACTCGAGCGTCATTGAATGAGCGCTGGCAGCTGTCCTTGGTGACTTGTGGAGGGACGACAACAGTGGCTGTCGGTAAACAACACGGACAACTGAATGCACTGTTGCCGACTTCACTGATTGTGGACGTCTCTGCCATGGATCAAACTGTAATCATCGATCATTGTGTCTCTACCGTAACAGCTCTATGTGACAGCAACATAAATGCAAATCGTATCGAGCCCCGACTCGTAAGTACAAGTGACGAGAGCCTTACTTGTCATCCACCTCAGTATCATCAGATATCGGAATATCATAAATATCCCTGATCTCCTTCCGTTTCCTCTTCTCATTGCTCTCCTTTTTCTGCTTCGCATATCTCCCCCTTTCCTGATGCACATATTCTTCCTTTCCCTGCTTCACGTATCGCTCATTTTCCTGCTTCGCATATCTCCGTCCAAGATGCAACGCCTGCTTCAAAGAGTCATCCAGTCCACGATCAAAAGACTCGTTTCGCACTGGGAGTTGTGCTTCCTTAGCCATGACAATGCCGCGCTCTGACTCCGGTTGTCGAGGCATGTATCGTGCGAGAGGATCCACCAAACTTCGCTGCTTATTGACGATCCTTTGGGAGAGTTCGGTGGTTGCTTGTGGAAAGTATCTGGATGCTTGACTGGCTTCACCTTCTGAGCCATCTCTATACACTGAGGTTCCCGAAAATCTCGCATTTCCCTCGCTGCCGTTGGACCTAGAAGGCGCAAGATATGTCGATGGGTTGTAGATCACTCTACCAGAGGACATGTCACTGCTGTGGTCAAGCTGTGGCTCTGAGTGGACCACTGTCTTTGCGGAATGGACCTGCAACGATGTCTTCAACGATGACTTCCGCATCCGCTTCTGAGAGGCACTCGTCCTTGATTCTGCTTCATTTTCAGTGCTAGAAGCAGCACTTTCATCATCGGAGTCGCTTGACAGCACGAACTTCTTCCATGCCGCGTCTGGGTCTTCTTGGGCTGCTCTTTTGGGAGGTTCGACAGGGAAATCTGCCAGGTTTTCACTAGACCCGGCGAGTACAAACTTTTCCCATGTAGTGTCCTGGTTTTCTTCCTTCGGTTGCCTTTTTGGGGAGACACTAGGCGGTTGGATATCGTCGGCTGCTCGTCCGCGAGGCTTCGACGTCCCGACCGTTCCAAAACTCAGCTTTGTATTATTATTTCCACGATCCTTATCATCGGGAGACCCAGTGACTGATGATGTAGAGTTCGGAATCGAGGGTATGAGCTTCCTATCGTGACTAGATTCATCATTTAGGGTACTTGGATCGGCATCCGACAATCCAGGCGATCTAATTTGTGTGGTGTTGTAGCTGGTACTAGGAATATCAGGCGCAAGTTGATCGCTTTCGTCGTCCACAGGCCAAGCAGGAGATTGTTGTTCGTCACTCTCTGCAACTAGCCAACTCCTCCACATCTCTTCATCTCGGGCAACTGAAGCGGCAACTGTGCCTTTCCTTCCCGCCGTAGCAGCAATGCTACCCTCAAATACCGATGAATTACTTCGCAAGAGTCGCGAGGTCGTTGAGCTTTTCGGGGTTGGGTGGTAGATAACTGGCGAAGCGCCTAACCAGTTGGTTTTTGTGCGATCAGTTGCAAATATCGGGCTGCTCTGCTGTTGTGGACCAGGGGCATACATATTTCGATTTAGCCTTCTTATTTGGTGAATCCGAGGTCCTGAGCTTGGGTAGTCACCAATTGATGATATGGACTTCTCTTCAAAGCCCTGTCGACCGTGTGTTGCGGGTTCTGGAATGTACCCACTGTCGTTCACCATGTCTGAACTTAGTCGATGCGGCAGTCTTGGTATCGATCCACCACCCTCTAAATCAAGCAGCATCACATCCGACGACGCTGATGATTGAACATACTCAGGATGTGGCTGGTTGATGACACTACCCGAACTTTCTCTGACATGTCTTTCTCGGCCGTCTATAAATATTCTGACGCTTCCCTTTGCACCTGAGGTCTGTCCGTATTGCATTGATTGCGGCTGGTTCTCACCATGGTTCGGGAATATCTCTCTGCTTGGAATATGGCGATTAAATGCAAACGGAGAGGTAATCTTGTCCTGGACTCTTGAATATTGTGCTCCGTAGCCAGCATTCAATTTTCTCCGTTTACCAATCGCATCCCGGCTTTCTGATTCCATATACTTGAGTTGAAGAGGACGTTGTATGCTCAGTCCTAGCCAGTCACCCTCGCGAAGAATCCGAAACCGTTTCCGTCGTATTGCTTCCATGTCATCTTGCTCTTCATAGTCCCCATCGACGGGCTCCGTATTGCTAATCGGCTTTGGTTTCGTTTCGTAGCTGTGAGTTGAACTCTGGGACACCTTGTTCGAGCCTGGATAACCCAGTTGTCCATGGCGACTGTTGTCTGCACGGCCTGCTCTCAGGATTAGATCGTTCCCAAGGGCTGTTATAAAACTTAGAATAGATACCTGAATGCATGTTTTCGACATATGAACCATGGTCACTATGTAGGTCATGGTTGAGGGGTACCAATGGCTGCTGTAGCTGGGTTCTAACGGTTCCATCTCTAACAAGCAACCCATCTGGAGGTCGCGGACCTGCCATGTCAAAGTTCGGACGTTTGGCTGAATCTTTCTTCATAGAGCCACTCATCAAATGGCTGCGCATCTTTGCAAAGTGCTGTTTCTGCTTGCTTGTAGTTGAGCTATCAGCTCTGCGAGAATGCCTCGAAAGGCGTCCACCGGTCCAGTTCATCTTCAAACGAAATACTGATACTATGGAGTGCTTGAAAGCTTAGAACGAGATATAAATATGATGATTCTGGAAGAGAGCTATGTAACGGGATAGAAACATGTGTAAATTTGCTGTAGATAGAGATTTTGCATTGAAGCAATACGTACAGTACATATTAGTTCGTACAATGAAGTTAAGAGAACCGCTTCTTACTGAATAAGCGCTGGTTGCCGCGCGCAACTTCACATCCTTCCATTTTGGGCGAGCTTCCACATACAACATCAACAACCCAATTTCTCTAAGAGCTGTGCTGATGAACGCAATTCAACAAGTTACTTAGTCCAGCACCCCGTCACCCAGATGTAACAACTGCATCTTGGTTTCAAAGCTTATCAAGACGCCTCTTCTCAACCCCGATATGGAAAGAACCCAATATTGAATCTTAAACTTACTTTCGTCGGAATGGAAGCAGTGGGCATCCAAGCCATACAAGAAATGCCATCCCCTGGATTATTCGGAAGTATATTTCCTCGTGATCTTAAGGACCAAGTTCGAGCTCCATGATTTTGGATGAATATATGAACGAAAGAGAGGAAGTTTCAATAATCCGCCTACCTTTAGAAGAGCAGCGGAAGAAGCCAGGCTCTTTGCTCATATATAAGTAAAGATATTTATCCAGCCCAAATGTCTTCATGGGGACTGTACTGACTGAGTTGCCAATCAAAGTCGCGGATTTCCCATATAAATCAGGTAATTGCTGATGTTCATTGTTTTGCAGTCCTACAAGCACATTAGACTGCCGTTCAACTGCACGAGTGACTCAACGTCACAAAGGGCTTTCTCGGTGCATTGATATATACTGGAGGGAAGGTTTCGATACCCCCCAGCTGCGTTTTACCTTTCCTTTGGGTTGAGGCGTCACCAAACGGCGTCGATGTTAGCTTCTCTGGTGGACTGTGCATTGTACAGTACAGTCGGTCGGGGCAGCCCCATATTCTTCAATTCTTTGCTCGGTCCAGCAACGCCCAATGCAACCAGAAACATGATGGCAATGCGTTATGCGTCGCCCCGATTGTGATGTTTCATTCGGGGCTGCACGCCGGAATAAATAACGCCCTTTATTCGGCCTTGGCTACCAGCCACTAGCCTAAGTTGCATCTTATCGCATCAGCTCAGTGGCTGATCTACCTCATAGTACTTCTTTTGATTAGTTAACGCAGGGTCTTGTTGGCCATGTCTCCAGCTGAACGGGTGAGGAGACATGGAGTACTTCCAATCCCCTTTTCTGGTCCAAAACAACTGAATTTGTGCTTCTACGAGCCTTCACTGCCATTGCAGAATGGTACTCATATGACAGGTTGGGAGCTACAACATTGTGCACATTGCTTTGTTTAAATTTTCCTAGAAATGCTGGAATATACGCAGCATTATTGAGATTGTTTCGGGTCGTCCCGGTACCGGACTCTAATTCGCAATTCCCTACCTTCGTCGACGTTACATTTGCATCCTACTTGTGGAGTCCACTGGCATGCATTCCACCTTGAGCCACCTTGCATTTTTGTTAGGAATCCCATTTGGTGTCTGCTGATAGATAGACAGTCGCGACATACGAACTGCCGTCAGCCTTGAAATGCAGAGTTGGTGGGGGAACAACTGCTGAGCCCCGTCATGTGTTACTCCCCAGGCAGAAGAGCTAGTTGGAGCCTCTCAGCCTTCTTTGGCATTTGGCTTCGGTGTGCAATTTCAGAAACGGTTATTCAACCCTCCTTCCAGTTTGGGGTGTATTCTTGGGCTTTGAGTTCGTTGCAAAATCCCCTGATGTTATTTATGACCAGTCTATTTATCGCGGACACGCTGCATGGCGCGACAGCTAAGCGGTGTCTTCGACTCGACACAAGATATGCACATACTCACCGTTCCGCGACCCCGAAACCGTCAGGCAACTATGGGAGGGATCTTACGGCCAGTGCACACCGTGTCGCACACTTATTGGATCGTAATACACAAGGCGGCCTATAATAGTCACACAATGGAGGTAGCGTAGGTCAGTAGACTGCGGCTGGCGCCTCATTTGTTTCTGTGACAGGATGTTGGCTTATTACCAGACCAATGAACCTGAATAGCCGCAGGACCAGAGCTGCTCACCATCCGTCGGTTTCATGAGCCTCGTCTCTCCTTCATTATCGCATGCCTAGCCCTGCTGCCTTCGTCTCGTCGTTTCCAAGGGCTATATCTACTGTAGCTGTTTGGGTGATATCTGCTCGTTCCTTTCTTTCAAACCTATAATTATTGTTATCTCTTTTTTCTATCCCTTCATATCTGTCACATTGGAACCCAAATCATGGCCACCTTCTCAGGACCAGACGTGGAGGACGTGCGAACAATGATAAGCCGATGCCATGGGGACTCGTCTGAATCGGTCACACCTAAAGCTTCGACGACAACGACGACTAGAAAGTCAAAAAAGCAAGCACCGCAGGAAATTATTGACGAGTTTTGGACCAAATTCAATACGAAAACGCCGGGAAAAGGTACGCAAGAAATAATGAAAGCCGCGTGCATATGTTGTTGATACAGAACTAACTTCGTTATTCTTAGCAACCACGATCCTGCCGGCTGACTCGTACGCCAAGAAGGTCGGCGAGTCTGCTCCAAAAGGGACCATAACGAGCCTATCATCCTCGGCATCTTACGAAGAGGCCGTTCGAACATGCAAGCTCAAGGTTGCCAAAATTGTGAAGGAGTGCCGGCGGGCAAATCAAAAATACAGAGATCCACATTTCGATATCGAGTTTGACCTGAAATGGGGCAAGCGTGACTGCCTTGAAACGTTGAAGACACCGAATCGAGAGAAATCAATATTCAGGCCAAAAAGTGTGAAGAGGGTAGGAGATATTTTTGAGAATCCCCAATTCTTCATCAATGGTCCTGAAGCCAAAGATATCAGACAGGGCCAAGATGGCGATTGCTGGTTATTGGCTGGTCTATGTACATTGTCGAATAAGAAGGGGTTGATAGAAAGGGTTTGTGTGGCCCGAGATGAAGCCGTTGGAGTGTATGGATTTGTATTTTACAGAGACTCCGAGTGGAGATCTGAGATAATCGACGATAAGCTGTACTTGACTAAACCAGATTATGACGAAAGCATTCTTGAAAGACTATTGTGGGAAGACCGTGAGAGAGTGAGCTCGGAGGATGAATATAAAAAGGTGTATCAGACCAACTCAGGAGCGTTATACTTCGCACAGTGTGAAGACCCGAACGAGACTTGGCTGCCGCTTCTGGAGAAAGCATACGCGAAAGCACATGGCGATTTTGCAACTATTGATGGGGGATATACTGGTGAAGGTATTGAAGATCTAACTGGCGGCGTTACGATGGAGCTCTTTTCAACAGATATCCTGGACAAGAATGCATTTTGGACGAATGAGCTTCTTAGGGTCAACGAAGAGTTCCTATTCGGCTGCTCCTCATGCCTCTTTGCCGGCTGGGGGGAGCGTAAAGGTATCATCGAGGGCCACGCTTATTCGATTATGCGAGCTGTTGAAATGGATGGCCAACGACTCTTACTTCTCAAGAACCCTTGGGGCAAAGGAGAATGGACGGGGCCTTGGTCCGATGGGAGCAAAGAATGGACACCGGAATGGATGATGAAGTTAAACCACAGGTTCGGTGACGACGGCGCGTTCTGGATTAGCTACGATGACTTTCTAAAGAAATATCAAACTTTTGATCGGACAAGGCTGTTCACAGATGACTGGAAAGTCACGCATCAATGGACGAGTCTGACGATTCCATGGTCGGTGGACTATAACTCCACCAAATTCGCATTTACCATTAATAAGCCGGCGTCCGTCGTGGTCGTCCTAAACCAACTCGATGGTCGCTATTTCAGAGGCCTCGAGGGTCAGTACACCTTTGAACTCTCGTTTCGCATCCACAAGGCTGGCGAAGAAGATTATATTATACGTTCACACACCAACTACTGCATGAAGCGGTCCGTTGCTGCTGAGCTTGATCTTGACGAGGCTGGTGAGTATTTGGTTCTTGTCAAGATCACTGCCAAGCGTGACTTTACCGCACTGCCAGCCCACACTGTTATCCGCGACAATGCGAAAGATCGCCGAGATAAGCTTCTTCGCATTGGCCTTGCCTACGATCTGGCGCATGCTAAGGGTCATGTGGAAGAATCCGAAGAAGACAAAAAGTCCCGGGAGAAGGCAGAAGCTAGGGCTAAAGCCAAGGAGCGCAAAGAAATCAAGGATAAGCTGACGGAAAAGAAGAAAAAGAAAAATCGCAGCGAAGCTAAGACTGCGAAAAGAGAGAGGGCTCGCCAGAACAAGGCTAAAGCTAGAGCGGAGGCGAGAGAAAAGAAGGAAGCCGACAAGAAGAAGCTAGAAGGAGAAGCTAAGAAGCCTGAAGAAGAAGCAGCAGCAGAGACGGGTGCAGAAAAGGCAGAGTCTGAGAAAGCTGATACAGATATGGCAGACACAGAGAAAACAGACACGGAGAAATCAGGCTCTGAGAAAGCAATTTCTGAGAATGCAGATGCAGAGAAGCGTTCAGAGGAGAAGCCGGAGGCGAAGGCATTAAAGAATAAGGAGCCAGCCGCTGAAGGTGCCGATTCAACACACAGCCAAACGCCAGCTTCTAGTAGCACCCGTCAAGCTATTACAGAAGCCGCACTAGATCAGTTAGCTGCCGCCACGGGCGATAGTTCTCGTTCTGCCCGTTCAACTGGCAAGAATGCTGATCGCGGAATCTCCCCACTCAACCATGCTAGATCCGCCCCCCGTGACAAACTCAACAGACGTGAAGCTCCGATCTACGACTCAGATGACAGTGACACGGATAGTTGTGTGAGCTCGGTGAGCGACTCGACCATAGATGCAGAGATTGAGAAGGCAAAATTGCCAACGCCCGTGACGAAGGAAGAGAAAAAAGATAAGAAAGCCGCCGATGACGAGAGTGAAGACGAGTTTGAGAAGGATCCGTGGAATGCGGTTGCGGTTGTCGGATTGAGGGTTTATGCTAAAGCTAAAGAGGTTGAGAAGGAAGATGAAGTGGAAGTGGGAGGTTCGGCAGGCTCCGAAGAGGTCAAGGTGGACAGTGGCAAGAAAGAGGTGGCAGCTGTAAAGTTAGAAGATAAAGCGAAAGGGGACGAAGAGAAGGTTGAAGGACCAGCAGAATTGACTCAGAAGACAGAATCAGCCACAAAGGATGCTGAGGATGCTTCAGGTAAGACGAAAGAAGAGAAACTAGAAACGACAGAAATAGTCACGGAAGACAAACCACAGGAGACAGCTAGCAAGACTGAGGCCAAAGAGGAAGATCCTCAAGAGTTGGAAGTCAGCATTCGGGTCATCAGACCTCGGACTTGGGAAGATGGCGAGGCGAGTTTGGATGTCGACGATAGTGCCATGGATGCAACCAAAAACTTGGCTGAGGAAAGTGATAATGAAGACGGCAACAAGAAAGTCGTCATTGGGATGAAAGGCAGCTTGGGAGCCGTGAGTAATTAACGAAATTGGAATTCAAATGGCCTTGAACACGAATGATGGGTATACGATGGAAACGAGGGAAATGAATGGGCTATTGGAATTTGGGACCCTGGAGGACCTCTACTCACTATGATACGTTACAGATATAATTTAGTATTTTATTTCATTTTACTCCACTACCACCATTTTGAACCCAGTTCGGCAAGGGCAGACTCAGATCATTGTAGGAGGAACTAGAGATTACGAGTTTTATGTCTCTACAGCCACGCCGCGGGTTTTAAAGATCTTACTTGGTAATAACTAGTACCCCATAAGCTGGAATACTCCTGTAAGTCTCCAACTCCCGCAAAGTTGCACCTCCCGGTGCGTCCTCCCTCAAGAAACTCTCTGGAACATCCGTCACCCCCCACTCCAACGTGCCCTTCAACCCAGCCTCCCTCGCTGCCTCCTCATACACCTCTTTCCTCAGATGGTAGCATTCAGAGTACAGCTTCCCAACAGGCGTCTTACCATGCACCCCGAAGAAAATCCCATCTTCGACATCCCTGATATGCCTATACATCAAATACCCCGATCCCTCAGGCTCAGGTCGAGCAGTCGCCTCAGCGTTGAGCGAATCAATCGGATTTTCGGAAGGCGGAACAGTAATTGACACAAACTTCCCCCCCTCCTTCAGATTCACCGCAACATTCCGAAACATCTGAACCAACCCCTCGCGATCAGAAGCATAGTTAAGCAACCAAGCTCCAAAAACGATATCAAACTCCCCCTCCCCGTAGACCTTCGGAACCGCACAATCAGCCTGGATAAATGCAACCCTTTCCCCTACACCCGTCTCCTCACCCACGCTTCGTGCTTTATCCATCATCACGGCTGAGATGTCAAGGCCGACGACAGAACTAGCGCCCCATTGGAGTAGATCGTAGGTGTAGAATCCTGAGCCGCAGGCAAGTTCAAGGACACGGGCATTGGGGACGAAGGGCGTAAGTGTGGTGCGTACATTATCATGCTCAATAAGGGCGATGGTTGAGGTGCGGATGTAGTCGTAGGGGGCGAAAACACATCAGCCCAGCCCAACCCATCCCACCCTTTCTTCTTCTCCTTCTCACCCCTAGATATTTAACTTCAGGGGCCAAAATCCAACATCCAAAGCGGCAAAAACAAAATGAGGCAAAAAAACATACAACAGTGGGTATTCGCTGGTGGTCACCCACCCAACTACTAATCCACCGATCTCAAGCTTGTGTATGGCAGAGCGGACGGGATGCCCAATTCTCTTGAGTCTATGGTCGTATGTGAATGTTCTTGTTGTGTCGGGGACTATATACAATTCCATCTCAGTGACGACCGACCACGAAAAAGTCCTCATCCTAGTAGAAGGATCGGCAGTTTAATGGCAGCACCACCTAATGGACGAGGAGTCCAATGGATGATAGGTTCCCACGAAGAGTATAAAAAGATTATAGATGACTATTTCACGTGTAATAGTACTATAGCGTTATTAATCAATCCACAACAGTATAGTAAAGCAGTTGGAATTTGGGGCTTTCTCAAATACGTTTAAGTTAACTGAATCATCAAAGTCACGATAATTACACGAAGAGACTACAGGTGCAGGCATTGATATTTAGCATGATCTTAGGTTATCAAGCAATTTATACTATCATGATACTAATGTAAGATATTCAGCTCGGAAAATAGAGTAAACTTGCCCTGCCATCTGCTTTCAACCCCAAGTCTCGCAGCATCCGAGAGGAAGCCAAGATAGATCTGAAGTCCCTATGCCTAATTTCCCCCGCCGCCTGTATTCTGCCCTCCAGCCTATGGATTGTCAATTCTGATCTACAAAGTGGAATGTGGCTAAACTTACACCAGCCTGATTGGCAATATTTTGCTGCCCCCCATCACCAGGTGGTGGGGGAGGAGGGGGGGGGGTATTCCCCTGGTTGCCTCCTCTGTTATTTCCACCCGGGCCGCCATTCTGCCTCTCTACCATATCTCGGCCCTGATTTCTCTGTGGAGGAGTGGGTGTATTCTGCTGATTGGCACCATTTTGCTGCCCCCCATTACCAGGTGGTGTGTGAGCAGGACGGGGTGTATTCTCCTGGTTGCCTCCTCTGTTGTTTCCACCCGGGCCGCCATTCTGCCTCTCTACCATATCTCGGCCCTGATTTCTCTGTGGCGATGGAGGAGGAAGAGGTGGTGTAGGAGGAGTCCCGCCCGTTTCACGATTCTGTCTATTGTTGAGACGCTGATTATTGTTCCGTGGGGGTTGGCCTGGAACTTCTTGGGGTGGTGGAATTGCTTGAATAGAAAGGTCAAACTTCGTGTTCTGGACAGGAAAACCATTGGCGGTGAAAGCTGTTATGAGGAGGACGACGAGGGAAGCGTGGCTGGCTTGCAGTTGCATTTTTGAGATGTGATTGGAAGAGTTGGCGAGGTAATAAGTGATAGTTCAAAGTTGCTTAGGGATTTTGTGATTATTATCAGACCGGCTGATAAGAAGTAGATTTGAAAATATATTGAAAGAAGATGAGAAGTAATGAAGGTTGCCGATTTAGTAAAAAGAAAGGAAGGCAAGCCTCATATATGTATGTCCTTATGAATTGTTTTGTTGGCTGGATGTCTCTCCTTGAAAGAGTTGATACAACATGAGAGCCAATTACGTACGTGTCTCTTGGAATATCGTTAGATCCTGAAAAAGTGAACATTCTCCTACACAAGCTTACGTGCTCTGTTTGGAATGTGTAGTTTGCAAGCCCGAACATCCTGAACTTCATCTGATTCCAGCAACAGAGTGCGGTCTGAAAGCCGGATCTGTTTGAGTGTCCCGCTAATAGAATACATGCTAGAGGCGACGATACAAAGATGCCGAAACGATGCCTGCGGTCGACCTGCTTGAGCCTTGAGTCACACCAACAGAAACACCTGAAAAGCCGGCTTGAAGTTTCCAAAATCCGTTCTAGTATTCTAGTATGAGCTATAGTAGAGATATGCTGATCCAAATGATGCCTAAATTCTCAATCGAGGCATCTCAAAGCATTTTAATTGTCCTTAAAGTTGACTAAGCACCAGTGACTTTCTTTAAGTTATTGAAATAAGTTGTTGAGAAAGTTATCTCTGGAGGAGCTGTGGGAAACTTCCCTAGACGTGTTCTTTTGCAATTGAGTTTTTAGTGACTCTTCATTTGGGATTTGTTTGTTTCATAAACTCCCTGCAGCATCTTCAAGCAGAATCAGTAGAGCAGGTGCTGAAAGACGCGTATACCTGCCATAATCGAAATGTCTCAGTTGGGACTGAAGCTGTTCATGTCACGTGCTAGTTATTATCATATAGCAGTCTCAAATATAGCACTATTTAGGCTTAGTTTACTCACTGAGTGCAACATCCTGCGCTGGCTCAGGACGCTGCTCTCCAGACAATATACACTCATTGAAGCGATCCATTGAAATATCAGTTGGTTGACATCGCCAATGAATCGTACCGGCTGCCCAACTGAGAAGATGCATAAGATTTGTATACAAAAGCGTTGTCTAGAATAGCAGCTTCAATCGTGTCCCCCTGATCAGCTGAAACATGGGACCTCATGTGTTGGACCAGTTAAGGGGACGACTCATTTCTCAACCTGGTTCAGGAGTAAGGTCATGTGAGGCGAGGATTTTCCAAGTTATTTTCCATCGTATCCCGATGTCCCAGACCCGATTTCTTCTCTAGGTGACGACAGTGTTTCAGTTCACTTTCGGTTACGTTGCTTTATCGTTATTATAGTTTGTTCGCATTACTATATGACTTACGTGGTGTGTGATCATCTTAGGTTTCAAGGGACTTATGCCAACGACGTCTTCAAGGCTTAGCACGCTTAGCACCAAACTCTCGAACGTAATTGGGAAATATTCCTGGTCTCATAAAAAGACTTCCTTGTACGTTTGTCGTCCACTACACACGTTTCCACCGTCCACGAACCCCTTAGGCGTCAGCATTCGAGGCGGAGTAATATTCTCAAATTAGACACATTGGAAATGCGGCGATGTTATTCTGTACGCCCTTATGATAGTCAATCATGGGAAGAAATCTATAAAGACAGGATGGAGTTTCCCAAAGTTTATCTTCGTCACCCTCACCACCATCATCACTTTCCTACTCAGCTTTTCATTGCCTAGCTTTCCTAACTTTCAATTACTTCGCCACTCGTTTTCACATTATACGCTATCAAAATGCACTCATTCACCACCGTCCTGATCACCGCCTCGGCCCTCCTAGCGACAGTTTCCAGTTCTCCCCTCCAACTCCGCAGCACCTGCGGTGGCGCACCAACCGGCAATGGCAGCCAACAACCCCTTTCCCAACCAAGCGGTATCACCACCGCCAAAGCATGCCAGGCTAATTGCACAGCTAATGCATCTTGCCAATCCTTCGTCTTCGGCATGGTGAACAATGCAGTCAAATGCATCCTCTACTCCGTCCCAGCGGCTTCAGCCCCTAAGCAATCAAGCAGCAATCTCATCGCCTACGATAAGTCATGCGGCTCCGTCCCAGCAGTCGTTCCCACGGCATCCAACCCAACAGGCGCTAAAACAGGTGGGAAACTCGCCATTCGAGCAACCTGTGGCTCTGCACCAACTGGCCCTACCGGAAACGCCAAACCCCTTTCTCAACCAAGCGACATCACCACCGCCAAAGCATGCCAGGCCAAATGCACCGCTAATGCATCTTGCCAGTCCGTCGTCTTCGGCATGGTGAACAATGCAGTCAAATGCATCCTCTACTCCGTCCCAGCGGCTTCAGCCCCTAAGCAATCAAGCAGCAATC